AGGGTGCTGAATCGTGCTATTTGATCATTTCTGTAATATAGGGACCTTTAGTCCTTTCAGTCAACGACATCTACCTTTAGTCAACGGAAAAGCGTTTCCTTTACTAAAGCATTGGTGATGCTGGTGGTGTCGACCAATTTAGTGCACGGACCAGAGCGTCATGTATTTTTAGTCAACGGAAAAGCGTTTCCTTTACTAAAGCATTGGTGATGCTGGTGGTGTCGACCAATTTAGCGCACGGACCAGAGTGTGATGTATTTTTAGTCAACGGAAAAGCGTTGCCTTCACTAAAGCATTGGTGATGCTGGTGGTGTCGACCAATTTAGTGTACGGACCAGAGCGTCATGTACTTTTAGTAAGCGGAGAAGCATTTTCTTTACAAAACATTGGTGATGCTGGAGGTGTCGACCAGTTTAGTCTACGAAGGCTGTCGAAAGCACGATTACTCAAGGCGGTCTTGAAAAAAGCAATTCTGTAATTCGTTTAGTAAAGAACTTTGAAGCCGTCGAAGGACGAGTTCAAAACCGGGACGTCTGCTTTTGGTGAACGGAATCTTCTTTTAGTCAACGGAAAAGCGTTTCCTTTACTAAAGCACTGGTGATGCTGGTGGTGTCGACCAGTTTAGTGTACGGACCCGAGCGTCATGTACTTTTTGTCAATGGAAAAGCGTTTCCTTTCCCAAAGCATTGGTGATACTGGTGGTGTCGACCAATTGTGTACGGATCAGAGCATTTACTCAACGGAAAAGTGTTTCCTTTACTAAAGCACTGGTGATGCTGGCGGTGTCGACCAGGGAGGGGACAGGTCAACACTAGTATATATATATATATGTATACATATTGTTGGTGCCATGGGAAACCAAAGATAGCCCCAATTCACCTATGTATGGTAGATTTTTTACGGGATCTCCGGCTTCCACTGCGCTCACTGGACAAAAAGTCAAGATCCTCATATCCTGTGATTCCTTTGTGACCTGAGGTCTGTCTGTCTGTGTGTGTCTGTTTGTCTGTGTGTCTGTCTGTTTGTCTGTCTGTCCGTTTGTCTGTTTGCTTGTTTGTCTGTCAATTTGTTGGTTTGTGTGTTGGAAGTGACACTCCATTTGGCAAACATGTAACCTCTTGTGAGGTTCCACATTAGCTGAATGCCAATCAGCACATAGTTCCTCATGGGTGGTGGCTGAGACAGAAGTTGAAGCCGGCAACTTCTTTCAGAATTCACCACATACATTATCAGGCATTTGAAGGGAATCAAGTGGTTCACTTGGACATGGCTTGGGTTGCAGCGAAGAGATGCGCGGAACTTGAAATTGCCTTTCCTCCTGAAAGGATGACAGCTTATGTTTGTTGGAGGGATGCTTTCATTTTTTAAAACATGAGTTATCCCGTCCCTGACATTTGACATGTATTCCCACCAGAAGACATCATGCATGCTGTTAGAGCCCCTAACGTCTAGGTCTGCAGGCAAGCCTGTGGCATATGGAAACTCCTGAGGGCAAAGCATGCAGTTGCTTCTTTTTCTGAGATGTGAAGCTGAAGGGAAACAAACAACACCACGCTGCTTTGGCGGCTGTGACCACGTGCTCCATGTATCTCCATGTTGTTCTTTCTTGGCATGCATTGGGCCAGGTCTGTCCAAGGAATTAGGAGCTGAATAGCTTTCCGAAGCTGTATTAAGGATTTTATTCACACAGGAACCCATGCTTAAATGTGCCAAAGCTGCTCCGGTTTCCCATTCTGGCTTCTTGTTTTCTTGATTCGTGATTTCATGCCAGGACGTGGTGCGGCATTCGTCCCAGCATGCAAGGGTGAGCCCTGCTTTAGTTTTTTAGTCGCAGAATTTCAGTGGCGTTGCCACGAAATTTGTCAGTTGCCTGACACGAGGCAAGAAGATGCACAAAGAGGCCTTGGAGCGAAAAAAGGCGTTGGAGTTGAAATACCCGTTCAGGAGTTGAAATGCCCGTGGTAGGAATGCCCGTGCACTTTCCCCAAAAACAACTTTTTCTGCCGTGGGGTTAAAATTGTTTACCTGGAGGGGCTGCAGGTATTTGAGAAGGCAAGTTTAACAGTCCTGAGCATGCGCTTTCATTCGGCAAGGGATGGCAACATGCTTAAGCCTCCCTTTTGGATTGGGTTACAAAAGCCGCCGACATGGGCAAACAAGTGAGTTGGTTCAGGACGTCCCCGGAACGCAAAAACAGCACCTTGCATACGCAATTGTTGATCACTTTGAGGTTGACTCATATCAAGGATAAACTTGAGCTGGGCGGAAAAGCGTGACTCGAGTGGACAAGGGGCCAAGAGCCAAAATAAATAACTCCTTGATTTATGGGTTTCGGAAAGTTCGGCTTTTCTGTAAAAGCTCGACTTTTTCCTTCTCCTCTCCAGGCCATTGACGCGGCGCCTTCCCTATAGACAATCGGCCATCCTTCCCCAAATGTATGATGAGATACGAGTTGGAAGTGAAAAGCGTATGGCCCAAGGCACCCCTATGAGGCCACTAAGTAGCCACAGCAATATGACTTGAATTAGGTGTTCCACAGCGCATTGAGGTGTACACAGTAGCGCTGCATGGTACGTAGCACCAGAAGTCTGGGCCGGGGTGATGTGCATCTTGCAACCCGAGCCACCCTTCCAATAAAATCCTCATCCATACAACATGCTTCCACTAAGCAATTCAATCACCATTCAGATCTAGAGGCTTGCCAGAGAAGGGTAGTAGCAACCTCATTGATCCAATGCAGCTTTGGCAGCATTTTGAATTTGAGCTCTCGCCGCAGCGAGGACTCGGATGCTAGGAACGCGTAGCACCGCAAAAAAATAGTGAGCATAACCAGCGATGCGTTTGGCATCTTCACTTCGATTCCAGGCTTCTTGGCTGTACAGCTCACTCATGAACTTGTTGAGAGCCCTCGTGCTGTGTACCTTTGCACAAGAGCATCACGGAGCTAGATAGCCAGACATGCATGCCAGCATCCCATATAAACATAGCGGTGTATATAAAACAAACACAGACATAAGACACTTTCACTGGACTTGGTTCTTTCACTGCCGTGGGTCCTTTCAACCGTGCTTTCCAGACAATCACCAACAGCCCCTCAAGTTCTCTCAGCCAAACTTTTCCAGCCCTATCCCAGAAGAGCTTTCATCCCTGACCCAGAAGGGTTTTCCAGCCCCGGCCCAGAAGCAGGGCCTCAGCTCCAAAAGTAAGTTGAGAACGGGAAGCAGCCCGTTCGGTGCCCAAGTTTCTCTGCCTTGCAACCCGCCACAACCCGAATCCGAATTTGATTTTCCGCGCGTCCGAAGATGGCGGCAGCAGCGATGGCCGAGGAGAGCAACAGCACAGGGAGACGGCTCGCAGAGGAAGAGCCCCCGTTCTCCTCGAATCAAATCGAGATGTTTTTTCAGGGTTGACCATTTTAGTGGGGAAGCCATTGAAACAAAGGAAAAAACAGGCGACAACACTGGGATTTGGGCGTGGCCCTTTAATTAATAGACCCGTTGTAGGTGGGTTCATTTCCACCCCACGAAAACTTGTCTGAGTTCGCTTTGCCATAATTATATATATATAAATATGTACATACAGTTTGTCCATGGTCGCTTTCTGTGAAACCAAAGTAGCCGACTCCTACGACTAGCTATCGCGGAAACTGGCCCAAACACCAAAAACTGCCAAACATTATATTGTATTTTCATATGTTTCACCGTATATAGACCCAAATATTCCATTCTTAAAATTATTTGAAATACATTACAAAACCAAAATCATATTCAATAAGTTTGAAGTTTAAAAATATAAAGTGGTTTGTTGGGAAAAACAAATATGTTAGCTTATTTTCAAGATACTATTTTGTGATTTTTTTGATATTGAATATTTGAAAAATATTGTATATCAAGTTATTCATTCAAATTGTTACATTTTGCTTTTGAGTTTAAACGTCTTAAAATGATGTTTTGCATGTGTATGTTTTAAGTCAAAACATTTGGGTTTGGAACATGGTATACTGGAAAATTGAAGTTTTCGTTTTTTTCTCTAATTTTGTTTGTTTAAATATGTTTTTGCATTTTTACTCTGAATTCTGAATGTTAAAGCGGAAATATTCTTGTTATTAGAAAATAATGATATATTTGTCTTATACTTTTCGACTGTAATTTAGTATTTATTATACTTGTTATACTTGTTGTTAATCAATTTTCCTTTTGATTACAATGTTAAAACTCAATTAATGTTGAATAAAAAGCATGTTTTTTCAAGAAAAATAGAATATTGTGTAAAAGCCATCATATTCTAGAGTTTCCCTCTGCCACGGTCACCCGTCACCCTACCCTATCCTACGGTGACCCAACCTTGCCCTACAGTTACCCTACCCTACAGTCACCCTCCCTGCGGTCACTCTACTCTACAGTCACCCCCACCCTATCGTACGGCAACCCTACCCTGCCCTACGGTCACTCAACCCTGCCCTACGGTCACCCACCCTGCCCTCCACGGTCACCCTCCACGGTCACTCTGCTCTACCCCAGGTTCCCTGCCCGACCCCACGTGCCTTGCCCTGCCCTATTCCAGGGTCACCCTACCACGGTCACCCCACCCTACCCCAGTCACCCTACCCAACCCTACCCTACGCCTACGGTGACCCTACCCCATACCCGGTGTGCCCTCCCTCTTCAGGTGCTGGAACCCTTGTAGGCTTGGATTTTCAGGGTTGGGGGCAAAGCATTGATTGAACAACCAGCCCCTAGCCAATCAAGGGTTTGGTCCACCTTTTTCTGGGCCTTACGAAGGGTACCTGGAAACTAGAGAGAACCCAAATCAGGGTCCCAGTGCCTACCTGGCCAAGCACAATCGTACTGAAACCAATCCCTCTAAATTGCATTTCCCGCTTGAATAGTATGGTTCTTGCTTTGGCGTCGACATTAGCACTGGAAGGAATCCCAGACTCACATTTATGCAATTCGGGGGGGTCTCTTAATGGTCCCTGGCCACGCTTTGCCGCATGCCGAGGATGTATACCCTGGCGGAGCACTACTGCGTGCAAGATGGGAGCGTCGACAAGGCCCGACAACTTGGGGTACTTTGTTTTTGCTTGCCCTGCCTCCCACACACACACAGTTTACCTGACAGAAGTTCCCTTCAAGAGGAAGATGATCTTCCAGCTACCACCCCGCTTTGTATGTTAGTGGGAGGAGGGGTACCTCTGTTCAGATTCCACGCTTTGAACAAGTTTGAAGGTTTTTGTTTCCAGGTGTTTTTATCATAGGCTAGGGCCAGACAATTCACGCTTGTCCGTCCTTCGTCTAAAGCAATTCAGGCCGATTTGAAGTAAGCACCTTTGATTTGGGGCTGTTCAAAGGCAATCCGCGACATCCTTGGGGTTGCAAAAGAAAGAAGAACATGCTTTGTTGCTTTGCAGTGGCTTCTCTCTAGGAACCTTCGGATCATACGGCTTTAAGGGCAAGCAGGGCAAGCCGGCCAATCTGTCAAGCCGAAGCCTAACACGACAAACTGAAGACTTCATACTAGGTAGTTGACGGCTGGAACCATGTTTTTTGTGCGTTCGTAGGCAGGAACAAGGCCTTGCCAGTTCTGTTTCCAAATGTCAGCTGACAGTAGGGCCAAACATTCTGTAATATTGTCTAGCCAAACCAGGTCAGAGGTTTCTGAAAGCGGTTTGCAAGGTTCACCGGAAGCCCAAGTATAGGGACTTTACAAAGCGAGGGGGCAGGGTGACCCCACCCATAAACAAGCCTTCGGATCAATGTTGTGAAACTGGTGACTTGTTTTCATGAAGGGCTGGGAAAGGTAAGGATTTGCAGCTCAAAATCGAAGCAACATATCGACTATTTTAGAAAGACTTTGAGCCTCCTAGTTTTATCAAATGGGAAGATCTTATTCTTGAGCTTAAGCAGTCAATTCAACAATGAAGTTATTTGTTGGGGCTTTGGGGTCAGATTGTTCTCATCAACTTGATGTGCAACATTGTTTTGCACTGTTTGGGAACAATTGTTCTAATGACAATTCCACAAATCATAATGAAATTTCAATGATTTGTGCTGCAACTCGATCATCCTCATAGTTCGTTGCAGCTGTTCCACCTGCGTATCAGTGTTGCGTGGGGCCCCATTGGTTTGGCAGGTTGATGGGCAATCGGATTCTGATGGCAATTATTATCGGTATTCAAGTGTGTATACATATATATGTACATATATGTAATATGCGGCTACAACAACGTGACACTGCCCTCAAAATGATGGCAGACGGAGACATTGCCTCTAAATGGCTCGCTACCTGCAGGGTATCAGCTTTGGGCAGTCAACATGTTGTCTACCCTAAAGTATAATGTATGTTTGGAGGAGACCCCAGTGTTCATATTCACTTATCCGCACCGCTCTCGGAACCAACACCTCACATGCCCAAAGCGAATCCACCTTACCTTTGAGTTTTCCCCTTTTGGTTCATCTTGAGTCAAGGTCTCAAGGGTCGTTTGGGCTGAGAGCCTCGCAGGAAGTGTGCGCGTTGCTGGCTTTCACGGCGCCTCTGATGAGCGTCTCAGTGAGTCAGCGGCACGGATCCCCGGCAGTTCGAGGCGTGGAACATAGGCCAACCAGCCCGTGTCTGAGGTCAAAAAGGGCAAAGGGATGCGGATCATCATGGACCAAAGACCTTTTTGACATCAGCCAGAAATAGTTAGGTATACCATTATTATTCCATGTACTATTGATATATGATTTGCCATGATAGCCAAGGTCCCAAAGTTGGGCCCTGGTTCTTGAACAGCCCTCAGTTGTATGGGGGTAACACGAGCGGTTCCACCGCTGCAGGCCTGAGGATTCCGAAAGAAAAGATCCACGTGAATTACAGTGATTGGGCCAGATACGGGGAGGGGGACCACATCCATTTAAGTAATATATAATTACAACCCTAAACTTTCAAAAAGACATAATTGCAACCTTTAACCGTCCTATCGTTTAGTCTTATCCATCTCCATGAGTGAGCAAACTAGATCTACGCTAGCCGAACGCAGCGCCCTTGGATGCCTTAGGTTCCACCGCGGCATTCAGATCATTTGGCACACACCTCACAGGCGAGCTGCGAGCCGGAGATTTCGGGGATCAAGGTAAAAGGGCGACAGGGTTTGTTTGGGGGACCACTTACAGTAAGCCCAGCTGGTTCAAAGGGTGTCCAGATCTAGTTGCGTTTTAGGTGTGTCCTTCAAGGGACCCTGTATGTCTTTTATTCTCAAAATAGGGCTTGTTGAATTGGCTGTGAGGAAACCAAGAGGGACACAACTGCCTAAAAGGGTCGAAACAACTCCACCCGTGACGAAGGCTACTTGCTTGGGAGGTATGTGTCTTATTTTCTGTTTGGCGAAGCATGCGATTCAGAACAATGTCCGTTTCTGATGCCTCAAAACCGCGCATTCTTGTGCTATCAACAGCGGACAAGACTCAGGTTGCTGGGTATGCTGAGTGCCTGCCAAGCGGCTTGAGCTAGGGGGAGTCTTCTGAAATCGGGAAGATGGGGGACAACCCTTGAGGGGTGGCGGTGGGTGGGGGAACTTCTTGTACGTGGCGTGACTTGCCTCCCAGCTTGTCGACCACTTTGCCCTACTGAAGTTTTGATGTTTGTTCTTGTTGGTTTTGAAGGGAACTGTCATGAGCGTTGTTCGTTTGATTGTCTTTAGCACGAACTGTCATGACCGTTGTTTGTTTGTCTTGAGGTGGGTTCTTGGGCAAAGATTTATGTCCACTTCACGTTGATTCGCATGACCTCCGGTTGTTCTGAAGGGGATTATTCAAAAGGTGGTGCCTATCAAGTTTAGTTGAGTATCACTAATTGTTTGCAGTTCTTTGGATTTGCTGGTGGATACCGTGTGCCTGTGCACCCTTGGCGCCTCAAGAGAAACAAAGCCTGTGTATCATCGGCAAGGTGTAAGGGCTTGGCATGTGGGACCAATACGTGAGTAATTAGCGAATTCTGCTTTGAGATTGAAATCCCTCCGGATGAGATCCCTGACAATGATTATCAATCATGCGGAACCTGACCGGCCCTGACCCAGAACAATTGGTTGCTTCGTAGTTTGACAGCAACAACATTGTAAGGTGCGGGACCTTGAATAATGTGTCCATGATATGCTCTATACCATGGTTCGCAAATTGTTTTGGCATTTTAGCAGGAGTCAGCACCACCCGAGACTGATGTTTCAGCCTTCTCCGCAGGCGATAAATAAAACGATCTTGAATGACCAATTTGCCAGTGCCCAGTGGCACATGTGGTTTTTCCTGAAGGAACGGCTTCCCTTTGACTGGCATAATGAGCGGCGCTCATTTGATGTGCACGCAGTCTTCCACCGCGAGCCCATCCGCAACGCGCAGGTGGCGCTACTTTCAGATCTTCGGCTTTTTTGCGGTGCTTTTTTACCTCGTCCGCCTGGCATGTTCTTTTTTTTTTCTGCGATCAGATCGGATTTTGGGAGGTTCTGGGCCGAGACCCTCAGATTGTTTCCCATGTGTCCCCTACTTTCGGATTTTGCAAAAACAAAGACGATATAAATGGGGATTGCTGCGATTGGATGGTCCTCCAGAATACTCCGAAGGTGAGATTCATGATCATTTTGATATAAGGCTTTTTGGGTCACAAGGGGTTGGGCCCAACATCAACTCAACCGAGTCAACAAACTAAACCCAACCAAACCAGCATCAACCCAACCAAGTCCAACAAACTACCCAATCAACCAACATCAACCAACCAACTCAACCCGACTCAACCAACCAACCAACATCAACTCAGCCAACCCAGCCAACTCAACCACCCAAAAAACAGCCAACTCCACCAACTCAACCCAATTCCACCACCACAAACCAACCTGTCAACTACAGGTGTCGCTGCGGGCCTTCCAGCCCCAGCGCTGGGCGGAGCTACGGGAGCAGCCCTGGCTAGCCTGGCTGCACCAGGCCCACGCTGTGGGTACCTCCTTGTGGTTTTAAGCAGAAGCGAAACCAAAGGGAAAACCCAGCCATGTCGGTGGGTCCCCAAAAACAAGACACCCCCGTATGTGTTTTGGCGTATGTGGTGTTTTGTCTCCACCCGACAGGTTTGGGGTTGTTACGGTAGATTTTAAGTGACATCCAACCTCCGGGACTGGCCCACCCCTCGACAGAGCCTGTGACAGACAGATGTGACAGAGCCTGTGACAGGCAGCTGTGACAAGTACTGCTGTGACAGCTTGCGGCGACAGCCCGAAGCCTGAGACTCCCGCCAGTGGCCGGTCACGACAGCCGCGACAGCCCACCAGTGGCCAGCCGCGACAGCCCGAAGCTTGACCGAAGCCTGAGGCTCTAATGAGTGGCTGGGTGCCAGTGGAACAGCCGCAACAGAAGCTTCAGGCTCCTGCTGAAACTCCCGCAGCAGCCAGGAGCCGCTATCATTTGCACTGCCTGCAAAGACACGATGCGCCATGCTATATCCACACCTCGGACAGACTTCAACAAAATGATTATGCGTTTGTTGGCGGCGATCGTCCGAAGTAAAGTGATTTGGTTCTTGAACGCGCGTACCAAGCTTGCTTTCGTTGGCTCTGGCGGTCAGCATGCGTTCGCCAGAGGAGCCGCTCCGTCCGCAAGCGCTCTCAAGCGGTTGCCACAGTTTGCCGCGCCATTGGGGAATGCACGACATGTATGACTTGCAACATGTTGTTTTTGTACAAGTTATTCCTCGCTGCGGCACTCGCGATCTTTGCTTGTAGGGGGGGGAGGTGTCTCACATGGGGGTGACACGAGTCTGACGCTGGTTTCCCAGGCAATTTGCTAGAGGGAGGATGGATCCTAGACGTCCTAGCCAAGAAAGCCCCTCCTTCCCAGGGCATTGAACTTGGGAAGATCGTTTTTGCCGGTAAGCAACTAAAAAGTCTCTCCCACTGAGCGTTCTCTTCGCAAGGGGTAAAAGCTCACTCCCGAAGATCCACTTTGAACTGTTGGGGAAGAGCATTTGAAAGGTCCAAACTTGCTCTGGCCAACCCAGGAAATCAAGGAGACAGTTCTCCTAGCCCATTTGGGAGTTTCACCTCCGGAGCTGATTCAAAGAGTGTCTTCTTTGGTAGACGTCCGTTGGTTGGTTGATGGAAGAATTTTCCAAGGCGTACCCCGCTTTAAGATCCCCTCGTTGCAGTTTCCTTTGTATCTCGTGCCCATCCGTGGCATTGCAGGCATTCAAGGTTTCCTCCTACCAACTTCCAAAAAGGAGACACCTTCTAAACAAACGCGCTCTGCCGTTCCATGTTCCCCGTTGCTCCGAGCCCCGAAAAGACGACCAACTCGCAAGGGTCGAAATTTGCCTTGGTGCTCAGTGCGTTTCTCCATCAGGGAACAGCTTTGTCTTTTTCTTATTTGTTCTTTCCTCCTTGTTTCCGGGTGGTTGGAGTGGCCGTGCTGTTTGTGGGAGTGCATGAAACGTGACAGCAATGAATCGGAGTGTTGTGTCCAGTCCCGCGACTCATTGGCACGGGTGGTGTGTTCGAACACATTGGCAGATGGCCCATCTAAAGTGTTTTTTTAAAGTCGGGTGATGTTTGAGGGGAATGTAGGGGGCCCTGTTGCCGGAGTGCATTGAGCAACAGTACGAACCTGGATAGGTGTCTCTATATATGAATCGCCGGCTGATGGGTGCCATCTAAGCACCCCCAAGACCCTCAAATCTTCCCTCGTTTCCTACTTTTCTGCTCTGCTTGATGGACATTTAGAGCCCATGTTGCAGCCACCTTCTTCAAGGTTGTCTTTTTGGGGCATTGAGTCTGCAAAATGGCACTTCGATGTGTCCGCAGCACCTTTTCCACAGCCTCCTCCCCCCTCCTTTCCCCATTACGCTGCCCTGGGCCGCGGTCAGGCGCACTACACAATTCACACCTCCGTCTTAGGCACGTTTGTCCTCTCCTGCTTGTCCATCCTGTGCCCTGCGGAATTTCAGAGAGACTGTGGGTGTGGCCCCAAGAAACACTCCTCCTGCAGATTGCGGAAGCCCTAAACACCCTTCGGTGGGTTTTTCAGACCCCTCTACTTTTGCCGCCTTTGCCACCAAGCAGGGGTCCTTATATGCCCCCTTTATGCATGATGCAACCCACAAGAACCTCACTTCGCAATAATCGCCTTGTCACATGGTGATGTTTAGTAGACTGACTGAAAAGGGAATGCAATACCCCTGTTTATTGCTGTCCCAACAAGCGGGGGGCGGGATGTTTACCCCCACACCCGAGATTGGGCAAAACGGATTACTGTTGTCCATTCGAGATTCAGTCAAGACACACCCGAAGAGTGCAGGGTTTTTTGCGCGCGGGGTTGTATGTATTTTGGTGTTTTTTTTGCAGATGGCTTCATGACCGGCAATTATCTTGATGACATATCCAGAGGAGCAGCGCAGTTCGGAAGTGAAGCCAGTTCACTGCTGTTGACGTAGCTAACATTCCCCAACCCCAAAGTAATGTATGAAAGGTCGGGGGTGGGGGTGATTTCAGATAAAAGGACCCTTCCCCAACAGGTTCCCTTTGTGGGTGGGAAAATCTGTATGGACTCAAGATGAAGCCCCACTGTTTGGTTTCCTCACCCCAGGACCTTTGGAGCTGAACTGATGATCCCAATAATTGTCCCTTTGTGCCGGGTTCCTACTAAAGATATTGCCAAGCCTTTAGCCCAAAAATAGGGGGGGATGCATAGGTAGCTCTCTTGCCAGGGTCACGGGGTGATGGTAGGAGCATCGGGCCTTCAGATAAGATGCGGATCTGCGGCCTTGAAAACCGCTGTAGCTGATTCCAGGGCTTGCTTTGTAGACTCTGTTTGGGAAAGTAAAGGGACCCTCTGGAATTCAGAAAGCGCAGAAACCATTTTGGAGGGGGGAACAGAATGCACACGCTGGGTTGATTCTGTTTATGAACGCCAAATTCCGGCAGCTGGAGTCGAAAGCATCCCTGGTTGTCTCCACAACTTCCTGGAAGTTGGGTCGTGCGGGCTGCATGAACATCTGAGGGGTCCCTGTTTTTTCAACCCCCAACCCGTTTGTTGGGCCCATTAGAGGCAACATGGATGTGAAACAGCCGTTTTGGTGTTGGACAAACAGGATCCCGTACGGAGAGTGAACATTTCGCGAAACTGGTCCAAGAAGGTTCGAAGAATCTTTCCTGTGGGGTTGGGGCGCCTCTGGTTCCTCGACAGGATTGGCAAGGCAACAAGAGTGGTTGGTTTGCGATGTGTTGTTTGGCGCATTTCAAACGTGGGTTGGGGGATTAGTGTGCTTTGGGGAGAGGGCGTTGTTGGGGTGGTTTATGCTTTCCTGCATGCACATGCACGCAATCAACACCTGGGTATCTTGGAAGTCAACAGCGCGGGCGCGGCCGCCCTTTTATGTTTTTCTACCATTGGTGTGGCCTTTGCCAATCGCTACCCCTGTCAACCGTGAGCATTCTGTTCAGCAGAGGTTTTGGTAAACTATGTGAGGTTCGGTCAACATCTACTGAAGTCTACAGTTTATTTGGGAGCAACATGCGGGGGACACTCCATTTCCCATAATAAAACCCATAGCCCAGCAATTATTGTCTTTTTTCCATGTGGGAGCGGCGAATTTGACAGCGAGTTTGTGCGCTCGACTCCAGGTACTTGGCCACTGCCAGTGGCGTGATCTTTCTGTTCTGGAAGACCTCACTGCCAGGGGCTCGATTTTCATCGGGAAGCTTGTTTTGGTTCCCGTTTCTGTATCAAAAAGTTCCCAAACCCCTGGAACCGGGCAAGCTATGTGGACCCCGTGAGGCTGTTTGCTGGATCAGAGGATCTGGGCAAGTCTTCACCAGCTCACCTGGGCGTAAGACGCTCCACCCATGATGAAGGTCCTCTACTGGAGGCGTCTTTCAACCTGGGTCAACTATTTCTTCCCAACCAAATCAAATCGAGTCAAGGCTGAGTTGAGAAATCTTCCAAATCCACAGCTCGTGCTCGTTCGGGCCAGGCCAGCTGGCAAACTAGGCAAACCGCAGGAGGGCCTACACCATGTTCAGCTTTAGGATTTGTCATTGTTTTTGGCCAAATAGGATGCTTTGGCCCTCTCCCCCATAATGCTCTGTTTGGGGAATAAAGCTTTGCTAGCGGGAAGGGGAACCTATGAGTGTTTTGAAAATGAGGAGTTGCCCCAATGGAAGTCGGTGTTCTTTTGGCTTGCATTTAGCATCCCACAACTTGTTTCCCTTGGGAAGAGTTCCCTGTAGAATCGACCACTTGAAACAAGTGGCCCTACTTTCCTGGGGCCACTGAGCTTTTGAGCACTTCCATATCCAAGTTGTTCCCCCAACCCGACCTTATCAAGGCCTTGCTAAGGCCTTACCACAGCTGTTTCTTGGGGAGGGAGGCGCTTGGATTTCCATGATGGGGGTTGCGGCATTAGCAGCGCCCACGGAAGAATTGGAGAACCGTGTAAACAAATTAGTCAGGTTCATGCTTTGAGGTCGGCAGTGGAGTCCTAAGAATACGACTTCTACTCCAGAACAGGAGTCTCACGCGATGTTGTTAAGGTTGGCAAAATATGAACCATAATCAGAACCGTTCGTTGGTGTACCATGGGGGTTGAGCCAAGACAATGTCAAGTTTCTTAGCCGTGCCTTTGTACCATCTGTGAATGGTTATTCTATGTGAAGCATGCCGGGCCGACCCCTGTTTGTTCCCACCCCGGGGAAGTCGCTCCGGAAACAAGATAGATGACCGTTGCCGATCGGACGCCCGCGAGGCGTGTGCCAACAGTTGCTGACGCAACCCTCATGGATAGCGGCCCACTGCAAAGTAACACAGGCAGGATGCCTTGTCATTGGGCAGAGGTGGTTGTGTTCGTGTCTTCCGGGGGCAGGTATGCTACTTGGCGGGACACATATACTCCGCTCCTTGGTGGCCAATGTATCAACTATCATAGCATTTGGGCAAAGTGATGTGCAGCGAGTGTTTACGATCTCACCCATCAAGATTCCTTCCTCTTGAGTCCGTTATTTTCAGGTTGGTCACACAGACTGTGCATGTTGTTTACATGGCCATGCTCATCTCAGTTTTAAGGATTCCTTGGACGGGCAGTATAGAAATGGTGCTCTTGATTGTCCCTTGCTTTTGACGGAAGTGGCCTAGCATTGTGTGAGTTCTGTTGGCTTTACGACAAGTTGACTCAGGGAGAGGATGAAGCTTTTTTGAATGCTGCCGAAAAGCAAACGGAGGCTCTTGTTCATTCCAGCTAGGGGAACCCGCCAAGGAAGGGCGCTTTTAAGGGAGACAAGTCAAGGACGGACAAGGAGAAATGGCGCTGTCAGCAGGTCTCGTTGGGACTTGTCGAACCTACTGATGGCCGAAATCCTGCGCCAGTTGGGATGGATGAACCCTAACGAATGCCAGGCTAAACCACGAATCAGTAACTGGTGCCAAGCGGATTTGTCCATCCACTGTAGGGATCCCTTGACTGATGGAAAGATCGTTTGCTTGCTTGTTGGTCTTCCTTGAGTGGTCTCGTCCGGCCTTCACGCGGTGTGCAGGCGCTCAATGTGGTCTATGTCAGCTGGGCCTTTGTTTGGACAACACATGCATGTGAGCATTTGGGCGGAGCATGACAGGGTTGCCATTTCAAGACTACCTTATTAGAAAGTATGTGTTGGCTTCTATTTGGTAACTTAATATGGTGGGACATGTTCGCACTAAACGGCAACACGTTGGTCTTTTTGCAGATGTGGCAATAGCTACACAGAAGCGGACTCCCCTGAAAGTGTAAGGTGCCAAATTGGGGTATTGAACATGTTGGTAAATGGACCTCTTTGCTGCATGCTGGTGAAGCTATCAACCACGTGAGTGTGTGTGTGTGTGTGAGTGTGTGCACGTGCTGGCAGCCGAGCTTGTTGCCTTGGTTGCTCCTTTGTCCGACCTTGAATCGTTTGCCCACGAACCAGCTGGCAGCTTATTGTTATGGGGAATAAGACCATCCGAGTCGCAACGCTTCAAAGAGACAGTCGGCTAGGGCAAGTGGTGGCTGCAACCAAGTTCATTCCTCTGAAATGTTGCTTCCGCATTTCACGGGATGAGGAGACTGATACATAGATGCATAGACATGCATATACACAGATGCATAGACACATAGGTACATAGACGCACAGATACATATACATATATATATATATATATGTAGATTGATAGATACATAGTAGCTAGTAACATAGATATCGGTCACAAAAACACATCATGTTTGTGTGTTTGCACTTTCCGCAAGCAAGTCAACTCAATGCCCGCCCACGGACCTGCTCCAGAATGCTCCGGCCGGCGGCCAAACGAGGGGTAAGTTTTGCCAGGTGCCGTGGTTTGCGTCAAAACTGCTTGAGTTATAGCCCTTGGAGAGGAGCCATGGACAGAATCTCCTTTTGACGCAAGCTTGCGCACACCTGGACGTGGTCGGAAAAAAACTCGCCAGCCACCGGTGGGCGCTGACAGCCGCGACGAGTGATGCCAAGAGAAACGTTGCAAAATGTGTCACGGGATATCTTTGCCTAGGCCCCTCAAGTGAACATTTTGAGGGGATCTTAAATTTCTTGAGGAGGCCCCAAAGAGCAAGTTCTAAATGACGTTCTTTGCTGAAACAGCGACCCAAGCAAATTGACGGGGCACAGGGAAGGGCGGGCTCATGGCACGTTGCGACGACAATACCCGTCGAGAATTCGCTATTCATGATCTTTGCGGGGATTCAACGGTGCCCCACTTCCCGAGTGCCTGGACTTTAACTTTTTGGGAAGACCATGTTGAACGTGTTTTGGCCAACGATGGCCAACAAACTCGTTCGGAAGTGAGTGCCCATCCAGAAGAGTGTTCCTGCGATTAGACTCGATTAGGTTGGCAACCTTAAGCGCGAATCCAACAACATTGGCCCGCTTTGGGCTTTTCTTCCAACGTTGTGGGATTGTGACACAACTCAGCAAAGCGCACCGAACTTCTTGCGGGTTTCCTTTGAAGAGCTCCAACTGATATGGCTTTTGATTCCAATGAGGGAGACCCTTCCAAATGCTTGGTGGACCTGTCTCCCCACCTAAGTCATGGATGAGTTCGGGACCCATTAAAATTCTCACCCATGCGGGGAATTGTGGTTATATACCTTTTTTGTACCCAAATTTGTCCACTTCCCATGTGGGCGGAATCAATATCTCCCACGAGTGAAGCCGGTGTGCTTCTGAGCCGTCGCGTGCCGCTCAGTGCTGTCGCGCGGCGGGTTTCTGCTGCTGTGTTTGGCGCATAGAGGGACCCCGAAATGCAGGTGGTCTTTTGTTCCTTTAAACCATCCAGGGTCAGTCATTCAATTTCAAAAACCGCAACATCCCATTTTCGAACGTGCCTTTTGGGGTCGGACCTTGTGGGATGCAGTGTAGTTTGGTGCCCCAAGGATCACTTCTGGTACCATGATGTTTGGTGCGCGTGTTTCTAGAGGCCAGTGGTCATTTCGCAACCGCTTTGTGGAGAGCCTGCCATAGATCAAAGCGGAGGCGACGTTTTTTTTTGCTAGGAGTGGCTCGCAGCTTAGCAAGGGCTCCAAGGCTGGTTGGTTGGTTGGTTGGTTGGTTGGTTGGTTGGTTGGTTGGTTGGTTGGTCGCACACCAGCAAAAATACAAATAACACGGGGAGTTGTTTTTTTCCCCCCGCTTTTGGCTTCTTGGCTTCTTGGCTTCTTGGCTTTCGGCTTCTTGGCTTTTTGGCTTCTCGGCTTCTTGTAGGTTTATGCGGCTTTTGGTGGCTTTTTGGCTTTGGCTTGTCGCATCCTCAGCATCACCAGTTCCTCCCTGTTTGAATCATCACTTCTTCTAACCTCATGGGGGGCTTCCCCCCTCAACCCCTCCGCTACTTTTTAGATTGTGTCCAGAGATTTAATTGCACCCCCGCTTGAATCATCACTTCTTCAAACATCATGGGGGGGGCTGCCGCCTCCCCCCCAACCTCCCCGCTACTTTTTAGATTTCTTGCAGAGATTTAATTGCACCCCTTTTTGAATCATCACTTTTTCGAGCATCTAATTTCGCAAGAAAATGATGTAAAATACAACATTTTATGCAATCTGTGTAGTCTATTTGTGTCTGTATGTACGCACTTCTTCGAATATTAAAGGGGAAGCCATCCCCGCCAACCCTCCCGCTGCTTTTTATATTCTATCGCACCCTTTCTTGAATTATTGCACCCCTATTTGAATCATCACTTCTTCGAACATCATGGGGGAGGGCTGCCGCCCCCCCAACCCCCCCGCTACTTTTTAGATTTTCTACAGAGATTTGATTGCCCCCCTATTTAAATCATCAAGTCTTCGAACATCATGGGGGGCTGCCGCCCCCCCCCAACCCCCCTTTTAAACTTTTTGCAGAGATTTAATTCACCCCTATTCGAAACTTCTGCGAACATCATGGAAGGGGGCCTGCCCAACCCACCCCGCTACTTTGTAATTTTGTTTATAGCGATTCAAATGCCTTCCTGATTGAATCATCATGTTTTCGACCCCGTCAACCCTTAGATTTTGTTACCCACAATTTGTTGGTGATGCTGGGGATGTTGGTCGGACATGCGGGGGATGTTGAAAATAATGCTGGGGATGTTGACGAGCTAGTGTAAAATACGTCAATTTTGCGAGAACATGCTGTAAACTACGGCATTTTACTGGCACGAACCCAACAAAAAACACAAAATAAATCCGCACCCATAACACCGCCCCTTCAGCAACAGTAAGCACAGCTGAAACAAGCCCCGAAGCCTGACGCAAGCCAGCCCGAAGCCACCCCCAAGTTTACCCACCCCCAAGTTTACCCAAGTTCAACCATAAGCAGCTCAAAAAACAAACGAACCAACCACCAACCCTGACAAAGCTCTAAGACCGTCTAAAGCCTACCCGATTCCTGCCGCAAGAACTTAAGCGGCTTGAAACCAGCCCTGCAACACAGCATGGGGCTCATGCCTGTCTTGCAGTGGCAACAGATCAGGCGCAGACTGAGCCCGGCGATGCTAGGGATGTTGCCCTCCACCCGCCCTCCTCTCTTGGTCACAGTCACGGTGCTCACATCCAGCCACTTCTTGTAGCGAGCCACTCCAACAAAAAGCCACTCCTAGCAGAAAAAAAGACAAACGTCGCGACCGATCAAAGCGACTGACCCTTTGTTGGAAAGGCACTTGTGGGAGCAACAAGAGTTTCCCATGAAGTCATTCCTGAAGATTGGATGATTGGCTTCACATTTTCGGCTGCAAACAACAAGAAGCCAAACTATTACTGAAAGTGTGCCCCTACTACCATGACCACATTTGATTTTAAACTACCCCACAACCCTATTCTAATTATTCAGGCCCACATACAAGCGGGTTTGGTGCAAATGTGGCTATGCAACTGCCACGTCGCACCTTTTGAAGCAGCACAGTTACCGCGCCAATGACTCCGTCAGAACCAGTTCCGCCAACGCGAGCGTGGCACTTTGCAATGAGCTTGTTTAACAATTTTGTTAGTCTCAGGGGATCCGTTGCTTATGGAAATGTCGGACGGCAGGTGTCCGAGCCTAGTGACCAAATCGTGAAGCTGGTACTGTTGGGCTTGCACTGGGCCCTCTTTCGCCAACAGTCTCCAATCCCTTGTGCCGTGGAATCTTTCGGATCCCATTATGATTTGTTGTTCGGCCTCCTCTCGAAAGGGGAACATGGGGGGGGTATCCTTGGCCTAGGGATAGCCAACCACCCCAGATACGGCCCAATCAAGGCCCTATTAGAGGCTGATACCCGACTGCCTCCTTGGAGCTACATTTTGGCTCAAGGTCCAATAGGTCAATTGGTTCACCAGCAGCGCAACTACGAACTAAGCACCCGTTGACCGCGCTCGCCCGGCGTGTAGGAATCGTGCTAAGGACGCTTCCATGCCGAACGCACCGATCTGTGCAAAGTTTGGTATCCGCACAAAGGTTTTGGTGTAGGGAGGTTGCAAGCGCCTGATGGCTCAGGGCGTGGGAAACCCACATTGGGGGAAGGTCATACATCAAAGCCTGATTCCCCATTTCACCCATCGTTCTGTTGAGGAACCAGCTTTTTGTTTTGGTTGGTTCGCCGAGTTGAAGAAGGATCCCTGAACAAAATGGCAACGGCCAGAATGATGATGCCCCCCCCTTGCGTGGAGGCTGTGCCACGGTTTACCATCCAAAACGGGTCCCTTTCAAAAGGACGCACCTGCATGAGTGCATGGCCAACTCGAATTGTTTAGCAGGTATACACAGTTTATCTATGGTCAACTTGAGAGGTATGGGGGACTCGCAAGGTTTCAATCAACAACCAGGGGGACTCACTTTCCCATGTCCACAACAGGTGGCTTGCACATATATTGTGCCAGTATTACTGGGGGCAGGAGGGGTTAGATCAAAAGCCTTTTTAACTCTTCAAGGAAGATGCTTGAAGTCGCACGGAGCATTCCAATGGAAGCTTCAATGGACAGAGCGAGCTCTTTGAAATTTGGGCACGTGTAGCCGTGGCGCCAAACGCCTGTGGCAATGGAAGTTGGGGCCATGGGGCTCGAGAATAAGAGCACACGGTGCCGGTATCAAGGGAATGGGTCGCAAGATAACAGGCATTCTTCGT